GTCATCCGGGTACTTGTCGCATACTTATTTTGGAGTTCTATGAATTTGGACATGCTACTCGACTCGCATACTGATTTTAGCGTGCTATATAGTATGGAAGTATGCGGTTTTGAACGCAGCCTAGTATTCCTAGAAAGAGCTTGGTTAGCTGGTTCAGGTGTGTGTTTAATTGAGGTTGGAACTAAAATATGCAGGACATGGCCCGCCAGGACCGAGTTTGGACACTCCTGGTGTGTACCTTGGATACAGGTCATGTTCTGTAATAACTGCCTCAGGTCTCGGCCTTTCTTTTTTATTAAATAACTGGTTTTCTAAATGGACTCAATTCTACCTGATGCCTTTTAACAGAGTGTCTGTTTACAATAAACATTCCAGTGTATTGAGTAGAGCTAGGCAATGATTAGCATAGTTGTATATCAGTAATAATGTCACGGCAATTCGTAAGTTTGAGTAAGTTGCCAATTCATATGAATTCGTACGATTTCATTTGTAAAATTTAGTACGATTTGCTCACCCACCTAAGGACGGTTGGGTGTGATGCCACGGCTTCTTTGGGTTTGGGAGCGGGATTTGGTGCCACGCCTCTTTTTAAAAATTGAACCACTAATGTCGAGTTCAGACTAGCATTTTTTAAAGTGGTCGTGTCACGGATGTTTTCACACTGCATGACTATCTGGGTTAGCGTTATGTCAGTGCTGTGTTTACACTGTAGAATGGATCGGCGACAGGACAGTTTACACTGCATGACTTTAAAATAGGAAGAAACACAGACAACTTTGTCCAATTTACATCTCACAACCAAACAAACACGGGAAGTGACATGGAAATGACGCAAGGTAATATCTTTCGTTATTAACTACATAATGAAAAAACAAGGCTTTAGCTTTAGAAACGTGTGTTGCTCACCTGACTTTTGAAGAGAATTAGCAATTTCTCCTCAACTATTTTTTTTTACTTTTCGAGCTGATTGTGATATTGCTCAGATGACATGTCAAACAGACAGTCCTCCTGCCAAGTTTACACTAGTTTTTCCTCCATTTCTTGGGTCCAAATAAACTGGAAATGAGCGCTTTTAACTTCTCTCCAGCCTCCCATTGGCCTGCAGGTACCCACACTAGTGAATGCTGCTCTCTGATTGGCTGTGGGTGATTGCTGATGTCATTTTCAGTCAGAACACATTTCACACGGCTCCAGATATTTAGCATGCAAAATATCTAACTGGCGTCGATGAGTCATTGGCGATTCTCTCATATTGCGTCCTTGATAGTTCATACTACGTGATTGTAACTCACGTGATTGAGCACCGATTTGTTTGTGATTTCAGGCATTTATCTGGGATAATTCAAAATCTGTCGGCGAGTAAAAATCAGGGCTAAAATCAAGCAGTCTGAACTTGGCATAAACTGACAAAATGTAAAATAGTTACGTTTCCTCGTGAGATCAGGCAGAATAATCGCATGATTCCCTCCTCGAGATTAATCAAGATTAATTCCAATGTTATGTCCAAAAAGTAGTACGTTGTGTATTTTAACTTAGGAAATAGGGGTATGTGAACAAAAGTGCATCAGCGTTTGTTTTGAAAACAGCAGTATTCCCTTCACACATTATCAGTACATTCAGATTTCTAAATGAATGTAATGTAGATAAATTTAAACAAAAGCTATTTGTCATTTCCAGGACTCTGAGTGATAATTAAGTGTTCATTATGTCAGTGGTTCTCAATTCCTGTCCAACATCAAATATCTAGCGATGATGAAAGCCAACTGTGTTGTTAGCTGCGTCTGGATCCACACCTGCAGGGGGCAGTGGTCCGTATTGTATATTACACAAAGGGAAGCCATAAACAAACTAGCATTTATGCAGCATTTTCACAGTACTTCTTGCTCGGTACTGGTGGGCAAAGCGAGGCATCATGAAACAGTCGAAGCTTCGAAACGTTTTGAAATCTGTCTTTACAGAGACACCTAGTGGTCATTTTTATGTATTTTCCTGGAACAGCTTCAGCAAAGAAGCAGTTCAGCAAATTCAGACATCAAACCCCACGTTGTAGATTTGAAGCCGCAAGGGATTCAGTGAAGCGCTGAGAGTTCCTGACTAGCATGCAGAGAGGATGGGTTCAAATCCAGGGAGATGCAGATGTAGATGTTCATTTTTAAATGCTCTGTTCTTGTAACGTATTTTGTTTTAACATTAGTCAGACATCTGAACGAACACTTTGTGAACAAATATGTCTTGATTTGGCTTTTTAAAAATTGACTAAGTGAAAAAACGATTCCTGACAATCATTCATTCATTCATTTTCTTGTCGGCTTAGTCCCTTTATTAATCCGGGGTCGCCACAGTGGAATGAACCGCCAACTTATCCAGCAATTTTTTATGCAGTGGATGCCCTTCCAGCCGCAACCCATCTCTGGGAAACATCCACACACACACACTCATACACTACGGACAATTTAGCCTACCCAATTCACCTGTACCGCATGTCTTTGGACTGTGGGGGAAACCGGAGCACCTGGAGGAAACCCACGTGAAGGCAGGGAGAACATGCAAACTCCACACAGAAACGCCAACTGAGCCGAGGTTCGAGCCTTCTTTCTGTGAGGCGACAGCACTACCTACTGCGCCACTGCCTCTGCACCAATTCCTGACATTTTATAAATATTCTGAATTCAATCTCGGGCTGTTTGCAGCACAGTTACTCTGTGCACATAAACACAGTCCACCTGGCTACGTAATACAGAGTTTTTTGTTCCCGACCCTGTCAGTCAAACGCAGATTCGCCAGGTCTCGAAACGCTTCTGAAATTATTGATGCTTTGAATCGATGTAGTCACGTGACCTTGTGTTTTGAAACACTTTAGTCACGCGACCTGGGTGTTTCGAATCACCTTGTTTCGGATCATGATTCGGTGCAGTGTTTCGAAACACTTGTGCTTCAGGATCTCAACACTGTCGAACCATCCCTATAACTCCCTACAGAGGCATTCGCTCCTGCAAATATTACTGATAGTCTGGTTATCCATATTGTATGCAAATATTTTAGAAATGTGACATACTATGAATACTTAACTATACTGATAACCCACGACAAACTTTACAAGTGTTTTTACATAAGACAGAAACATATTGTGCAACATGATTTGTTCATTCACAGGTAAATGTTTTGCTTTTTGAGTCCTTGTAAAATGGAGTTTAAGTGAAGTGTCTGGTGCAAATGGAGAGCAGAGTGTTTCTACAGGTGGTTTGTAATAATGTTAAGTATTCATTAACCAGTTGTATTGGGTGGCAACTGTATGAAGTTGTGTTGTGTCTGTCTAGCAGGCCACTGGACACTTCTTCATGTGGTTTCGCCTGAACCAAAACAGCACTACATGAAACATTCTTTCTCCCTTAATGTGAATAAAAATAAAATAATTAAAGCGTTTAAGTTACTCAATGAGCATGCTAATACTTGACCAACATGTGTCCCTGTCACCAGCTGGAGTTCCCATAAGCAACACTAAAGAACACTCCACATATGACCTGTGCTGCTTAGCAGAACTACACTTCCCACAATGTGTTGCACCTCCACAGCTGATACACATTCCTGGATTAATCATTGATTACCACTGCAGCTGTTCACGATTATCTATTCAAATACAATTTATTCTACTGTTCTCTCTGCCATGTGCTCTCGGTTTACTGTGGTAACTCCTCTGCTGCCATTAGGACATGATTTTTTAGGCATTGAATAATGGTGCAAATACTAATTTAACTATTTGGAGGAACAAATTTTTTTTCTTTTTGCATGTTCTCCCCGTGTTGGTGTGGGTTTCTTTCAGGTCATGAGGTGTCCAAACTCGGTCCTGGAGGGCCAGTGTACTGCTAAGTTTAGCTCCAACTTGCTTCAACACACCTGCCAGCAAGATACTAGTATATCTAGTAAGAGCTTGAATAGCTGGTTCATGTGTGTTTGGTTAGGGTTGGAGCACCGGGCCTCCAGGACCGAGTTTGGACACCCCTGCTGCAGGTGCTCCGGTTTCCCCCACAGTCCAAACACACCTGCGCTATAGGTGAATTGGGTAAATGCAATTGGCCATAATGCATTAGTGTGTGTGTGTGTGTGAATGCAAGAATGGGTGTTTCCCAGTACTGGGTTGCAGCTGGAAGGGCATCTGCTGCATGAAACATTTGTCGGAATAGTTGACGGTTCATTCCCCTGTGGTGAAAAGTTAGTATCTGACGTGAAAACTCTTACAAATGCATATTCAATAAGGGCCAGTGTAAAAATAAATGCCTACGATTTTAGCGCTAGTTATGCACTGCAAGCGTTTAGTAAAGTCTGACAGTGTTGTTTTTAACAAATATTTAGTTAATTAGTCAATCTGTGCCTGAGTGTTTAGCGTAGGTAATAAAGCTGTGCTTGTATCACACACTGTGGTTGTGTATTGTTGTGTTTATAACTGGATTTTTTTGTCATGCCCAGATTAGTTTCATGCTCTTGAGTAGTGTTGTACAGTAAGAAGATTAATAAACTGATAATTGATCAACTGATTCCTGCATCTACAAACTGAATGTCATTTAAATGAGGAGTTTAGGTAAAATGCTGTCATATATTATGGAAAGATAATAGGCAATACTCATTTAACCACATTATTTAATATTGAAAACACTGGTGTAATCTATGTATACAACTATAATTACTTAAATCAATGAAATTACCTCTAAAACTAACGAGTTCAAGGAAAGACTATGTGTTTGTATCTTGAATTCCTTTTACACAAAGTAAAAACTGACTTGTAATACTAAACCATTAGTTCAAAAAACATCTCCGCAAACATTCTGGAGGAATATGAACATTTAACATTTAAAACAATTTATTAAATAATACATTTATTTATTTCTCCAAATTTAATCTCAATCTGAAAATATGTAGTGGGATTTGTGTTAATTATTTAGCTTAAGCCATTATTTATTCATTGTCTTGTTTGCCTGTATGAAATTCTATCCGAATTAAAACTAATGAAAGACTTTTATTTTGGTGTGGCAGTGACGTCATAAGGCTGCGCCGCTCTCCCGTGTTTGGGATTCAACAGCAGGTTTGTTTTGCAAGCTTTCAAAGGGTGTAAATCGAAAAAAACGACGTGAAGTTAACGATAGTGTTTACACGTTTTGCTAAATTGGTAATTTGTCATCGACTGTTGCATTGCCAAACATTAAATAACATCTGAGACTAACTGAAGCTGACCTGACAACAACAACACTAAAGTTACTGGTATTTATAAACAGCAGCGAATTTATCAAATCTGATTATAACGTTAGTATTTAATGCTGTTTAATAAAGTAACTGGGTCATGACAAAAACATTATTTGTTACACTACCTGCAACATTTTAGCTAGTGTTTAATTATCCACCATCATGTTATTGCCTAAACCCTGTTGAGATTGTGAAAACAAGTGAAGTGTTGTTTCTGCTGTTATTCTCCTCAGAGTTAGAACATCACATATTAAAAGTGTTATTAATATAAATTAGATCAAATTAAGTAATTAGTAAAGTGTGTGTTCTGCAACATTGTGTTAAATATTGTAGTACAGAATACACTCAGGATTTCGTTTTTTCTAGAGATACAATTTATTTGTTGCTGAACGTTATCAACATTTTTTTTTACTTGTATTGAATTACATTATTTGACTGGCTTTAACCGAGATGGAGAAAAAGTTAGTTTTATATTCGCACATTCAGGCTTTCCCCTTAATAATATCATTTCAGAAAAGTATTATTTGCAAGCTCTAAAAAATATTAGCAGCCAATAAATAACATTGAAAGTACAACATGTTGTTTTCAAGTCATATTTACATGTGATTTTTAGACCCTATATTCAAATTTTCATAGTAGATAATACAGGGAACGTTATTATTGTTATTATTAATTTACTAACTATTATTATTATCTAATTTTACACTATTTGATTTATATATATATATATATATATTCTATTTTATTAAAATAGGCCTGCAAGTAAACAAAATTAAGTAATGACATAATATAAGCTTTAAAGTTCAAACAAGCTGCAAAAATCACCAAAACAAAACACATTTGCAATATTTCCTTAAGTAGTGTTTCTGTATGTTTACAATTCAGAAATGCATCACTGATTGCCGCATCTGCTGTGTGACTCCCTTAATTCTCTTACCTGAGCTCTTTCTGTTGATTATTCTCCTCAGAAAAAACTCCCGCTGAAGCGACTAACCTCCACGCTATTTTAAAGATGGCGTTAATTAAAGAGGAGAGCGAAGACCTAAAGATTGATGAAACATTCACAGTCAAACAGGAAGATCCAGAGGAACAAACAGGTTGGTTTTCATTCTCAAAGATCAGCTCATTCGATCCTCATTCAGATCTACGCAAATGAAGGAGGTTGTTTAAGAGTGAAATTAATAATTAGAATTAAAGTGATTTGATTGGACATGGAGACTCACATGGACAGACATGTTGAAACACAAAATCACTGATGTATTTACGTGAGCCTGAAGAGATGTTACTTCCGATTGGGCAGAACGTTTTAAAAATATCATTATAAAATTCATCTATTTTACTACCAAACTTAAATATGTGAACATACACGTTATGGATGCCCCTAAATATTGAAGATGTTCCTTTAGGGAATTTCCTTGAAAAAACAAAACACTGATGTCCCTTAAGCCTGGTTTATACGTCTGCGTCAAGTGACCGGCGTAACCTACGGCGCATGCAATGCGCGTGGCTGTGCATTTATACTTCTGCGCACTGTCTCTGTTGGTCTGCATTAACACTTCCGAAACGCTAGTTGGCAGTGAGGTGTAAATGTTCCTCTGTGTCGAGTTTCTTCGCTGGTGTTTTGCTTTCCCTGAACACTTCCGGGATGTACAAGTGGCTCAAACTCGCTCATTTTGAGGCAGGAACAGGCGGACGTGCAACAACTTTAACTATGAGGTAAACACAAAACAAAACTTTCCATCCGGAGCTCCTTCATGGGACTCCACACTTGTAAACAATCGCTCCATCAGGGTCGCACCATTCACGCGGCTCTCGGTCCCGCCCAGACTCGTCAGCGATACCAAGCCGACCAATCACAGAGCTTACGCTACGCGTCCTTGCGACGTGTAGTTACATTTTTTGAGAGGTGCACGTCAGCGACGGCCACGGCGAAGGGCTATGCGTCAGCGCCGTAGCATACGCCTGCGTTTGACGCAGAAGTATAAATCAGCCTTTAAGGTGCAGTAGGTGATCTGTCAAAATGCTATCCATTAGCATAATATCTTTGAAAACACAGTCCCACCGCTGCCATCCAAAGGCACGCCTCCTGATATCATGAACGCGCGCCTATTATGAACAACCCACTAGATCAGGGGTGTCAAACGAACGGCCCGCGGGCTGGATTAGGCCCACAAACTAAATTTAATAAATAAATGAAACAAATTTAATGCGGCCCTCGAAATGATTTTGAAATTTATTCAATAAAATATACTGCTGTTCCAATTGTGTCCACTGGATGGCGCAATAGCGAACTTAATTTCATCCCATCCAGAACCCTGAATCAGCGTCAGTATGACAGCCATCTCAGAGAGAAAGACCTCATACGTATTTTCGTGTCCGTCCAAGAAAACGAAAACATTCGCGATCGATTAACCAAATCTTCTCTCGCTCTGCGCGTTTCCTGTTGCTGGTTTTGTGTGCGCGCAATCTGTCACACAGAAGCTGTCACATGCTCTGCAGATTCACTGAGACGCGCCTTTTCCGCCAAAATGCATCCGACCGTAGTTTCTGAATCTCCTAAAATGTCCAGAATTCAGGTTTTACATTCGCATTCTAAAGTTGCCGTTATTTGTATGCGTTTTGCATTAGCATTTCGCAGCTGACTGCGCGCGCACAGCCGCGAGAGAAACATCAAATGATTAATCATTTAACAAACGATTCAGATAAACTATGACATCTAGAATGGCGTAGAATATTTGTACACCATCAGAAATGGTTAATCAACTAATTTGCTAATTAATTAATACATTTTTATTCTATTATTTGTTTTAATTGTTTGCAATAATGGCTGTTTTTATTTTTTTTCTGATATTTATTTCTCATTTGCTGACAATTTTTTTAATTTAATGATGCTAATTTATTACATACTTTATATATATCTAAAATGCTTTGACAATACTGTATATGTCATTCCAATATAGCAACTTGAGAGAGAGCAGAGCACCCTTTACCTGTCAGTGGGTGCACATGGCTCCTAAATAGCATAAAAGAGAAATAGTGGATTTCTATTATTTCAACAGCCTTTTTAAAATAACTTTAACCCATTGAAAAGAAAAGGTGTTTAACAGTGTCATAATAATTAAAAATCAAGTTAAAAATCACATTATTTTTTGTTTGTTACATGTAGTTGACCATTTAATGTGCTGTTGGAAAAAGGTGTTGCTACCACTGCAAGTATACCTGTGGGAAGCCCGGCACACTGAGGTGATCTCACGAGGAAACTGTTTTCCGTTTTGTCAGTTTACTGGCTATTTTGTACGAGTTCAGTCCCCCTCCCCAACCCCTCGGGATCCGGCCCACCTGAGAAAAGATTTTATACCATGCGGCCCCTGACCTAAAATGAGTTTGACACCCCTGCACTACATCATGACATTCGCCAGTTAGAAAACTTTATAGTACTTTATAATACTACAATTCCAAACTAAAAACTGTATCTTATTTAGCACGTTTTCAGTTGTGTAGCAAGCAAAACTTGTCTTAATGTGCACTATTTCATGCACGTAAGATCGCTGGTCTTACTCTCTCATGCGCTTTGTCCTAAGCTGACTACTTAGTGGTTGGCAGCTGTACTCTATTGTCTACAACAGAGGAGTCCACCTCCGCCCTGGAAGGCTGGTGTCCTGCAGACCTTAGATCCAACACACTTGCGTGGAGGTTTTTAGAAAGCCTAATCATGCCACGGTTACACTTGCATGGCGATGCGAAAAGGGGCGGGATTAAACATGACGATTAGACATTTAAAAAGCGAAAGATTGGTTCATATTTAAATTTATGTCCAGAGAGGTCATGGTTTGATCTTTGATTAGTCTCACACAGTCATGTGATGCGATTTCTCAGGTCAGAGTTCACCAAGCTTGAACTTTGCAAAGCAGCGAACTGCGAAACTTGATGCACTAGCTTGACGCATTCGCATGCGTATAAATGGGAGTCTATGGGGCGAAAAGTCAAGTGTGACTGTCGCTTAAGAGCTTGATTAGCTAGGTATGTCTGATCGGGGTTGGAACTAAACTTTGCTGGACACCGGCCCTCCAGGACCAAATTTGAGCACTCCTATTCTACAGGGAACCATCCCTAGTGCCTGCAACAACACAAGGGAACAAGATTTTTAAAAACAGTTGACACAGGATACCATGATATTAAAATGATGGCATGCAGCACAATGAACCACGATTGTTGTCTTCATGCGATAAACAGCCAAGGAGAACAGGATCTGCTGTATGTCCTCCATTGTTGTTTATGGTGGCGTTCACATGTCGTCTTTTGGAAATGCTTCCTCTTTCTGTTTGTGCACTTTTGCCATGCTTTGACATTTGTAATGATGGACTTGAGTGTGCTAAAGACGTGAAACGTGAACGGTTCAGTTGGCTTCCTTCTTCGAACAAGAATGACGTTGAATGCAACTTTCTGGTGTACACCATTACCTAGTGAAAGCTTAATCAGGGTGACCTTTAAACCATGCTGTACTGATCTGCTTAGTAGAAATGAGGCATACAATAGTTTTTCTTGGATCTCCTTTAGAAATGTGAGGTGTGGATTCTTATTAATTAGTGGATTAGGTAATTCTTCCAGAGATTTTTACACAAGTTGTGAGAAAGGACACTGACATTCAGCATTCAAATGTACCCTGTAAATCAGGAGTGTCAAACTTAGTTCCTGGAAGGCTGCAGCCCTGCAGAGTTTAGTTCCATCCCTGCTTCAGCCCACCTATCTCAAGAGGAGGAGCAAAGGAGGTAGACCTGTGAGAGAGTTGAGTTTCCTGACCGCCTGGTGGAGGAAACTGTCCTTGAGCCTACTGGTTCTTGCCCAGAGACTCTCAGTTTCCTCCCTCATGGCAGCAGGCTGAAGTAGCTGTGGGATGGGTCACCTGCAATCCAGATTGCTTTTCAGGTAAGACAATGATGTCTTAGAGGGCAGTGAGAATTAATTCAGTGATCCTCTCAGCTGTTGTCGGCTGCAGAGTCTTCCGTCATGATGCCAGGCAGGCTCCGTACCACATGGTGATGGAGCAGGTCAGGATGCTCTCGATGGCACCTCTGTCGATTCTGGAAGGTGGGGCTCTTGCTCTCTTCAGTTTGCGGTGGAAGTAGAGGTGTTATTGAGCTTTTCTGGTAAGGGATGCAGTGTTGTGGTTCCAAGACACGTCTTCGGAGATGTGCACTTCCAGGAACTTGGTGCTACTCACTCTTTCTTCTGCAGCACCATTGATGGTTAGTGTAGCCTCCTGGGTGTGTGCTCTCCTAAAGTTCAAAACAATCTCCTTCATCTCCTCTACATTCAGGTGGAGATTGTTGACCTTGCACCAAGAAGCTAGCCTGCTCACCTCACTCCAGTAGGTTGTCTCATCATTATTGTTAATGAGACACACCACAGTCATGTCGTCCATGAATTTAAGGAAGAGGTTGGTGCCGGATGTTGGAGTACAGTCTTGAGTCAGCAGGTATCAAACAAGCCTGAAGGACTCGATTAGTTTGATCAGGTGTGTTTAATTATGGTTGGAACTAAACTGTCCAGAGTTGCGGCCCTCCAGCGATTTGAGTTTGACACCTGTGGTCTGAATGATCAACATCCTTTATGTTTGCTTACAGGGCTGTATGATACTGAAAGAGGCTGTTTCACAGTAAAAAGGCCTTGCTTATATTTGTGACACAAATAACAGATCTTATGATTGTTCTGTTCTATGGTTATAGAGCAAAATTATGAATTTGTAGATATTCATCTTCACTGTAATAAATAATTCAACAAAAATAACTGAAACCTCTTAAATATGCCATGTGGTGTAGTAATTTTGTCCATCGCTGTAAGCACAATTTCACTACAAACCCTTACTACAAATCGGTGTTCCAACTCAGTTCCTGGAGGGCTGCAGCTCTGTACAGTTAAGTTCTCTAATGCTGTGTTCACACCAGACGCGGAATGCACAGATAAATCACGATATTGGCACGTAAATAGACGCGTGAACATTTAAGTTGCTCGCGTTCATCCAAGCGTCAAATTCTGCTTCATTTGCACGTCAAACTTGCTTCTTTTGCACATCAAATTCACTTCACAACAGACGCTGATTTGCGTGATTGGCAAGCAATCTGTATGCCCGGTGACTGTAGCTTCGTTGCTAAATGGCTAGCATGGATTTTATTGAGAAAATAACTTGTTATCTGCTTTATCAAGGCTGAAAAACAGCGTCGATTCATTTGGAGCCGTGTCTGAGCCCACTAGATCCTTTCAGAGGTGCACCCAGCTCTGTGAGCTCATCAACTCCTCCAGAAACTGAACCTGGATGACAGAAGCTTTCAGCGGTGCGTCTGACTGAGCCGAGCACAGTTTGATGAACTGTTGTTGGTGTAGGCTGGAGGATTTTTCCCCGGGACATCAACAGCAGGTGCTACGTCATAATCACGCCTCAACAAGAGCAAGCTCCTGTTGGAATATCTTTCTCTATTCCATACGTGTTCAATTCAAACTCAGGAGAAATTGTTCAATGCTTAAAAGATAAGTAATTTATTGAATACAAATGAATATTTCGATGTTCAGAGCTGTGGGCATACGGCAAGATAGTCTAGCCGTTATACAATGCTAACCGTGTCTCTGTCAGCTTTTCGGCACCATCTCTAGTTCCTCTTTTCTGCACAGAACAACAAGACCAGTTAAATGCACATGCTTAGAGACCTACATAGGCTCCAATACTTTTTCACAGGAAATCAGAGGCGAGAGACACATGTTATTCATTATTGCCTCATTAATATGCAAAATACATATTCTCAAAGGCCAGTTTTGGTCGGCATATAATTTCACAGAACATACAAAATATAGTAAAGAATATAAAAAAATATATATAGTAAAGAATGACTGTAAGGTAAATGGTTTAAGGCAAAGCATACACAGCATACTAATAGAGAATCAAGAATAACTCTGAGAAATAAAAAAAAGAATTATATTTTCTACACTCCTGATTGGTTAATGCGGCGCGAATGTCCGCTTAAGTTCAGATTTTCGAACTTGAGCAATTGGCGCTCAATTTGCGTGTAACGCGTCATTCAAGCTATTCACACCATTCGTGTGTGTCGCGCCGCAGGATGTCTATTTGCTTCTTTGCATTGACTTAAGATGTAAATCACTCGGGCTTGATGCTTCTTCCGCATCTGGTGTGAACGCAGCATAATAGTTCTCTTCTCTTTATTTATCTAACCAACTCTAATTAAGCACTCCTTATTGTCTAACTAAGTGCTTCAGGCTTGTTTGAAACCTACAGGCAAGTGTGTTAAAACAGGGTTGAAACTAAATTGTAGGGCTGCGGCCCTTTAAAGGGCCATGAAACCCCCTCGTTTCAGCAGGGTGTTTTCACACCTCTACTATGGAAAAAGTCAGAAAAGTGGACGTGTCCAGCTCTGTTTAGGGGGGAGTGTCGGAGGAAGAAAAGTGGGATGGTGTGGCAGTGTCTATTTGGGCACGTGCAAGTTTCAGAGTCAAAATACACACACACACACACAGTAGAAAGTGATGGTGTTTAACCTACATGGACATCTGTAGTCGAATTATTTGCCAAATTATTAAATGGTGGACTTTAACTGCAGTTTGGCTCTTTCATTCAGGGAATTCATTCATGCCCCTCGCGACAAACTAGATATTTGATTCGAGGAACTGCTCTAAGCGTGTATTTTTCATGCAATGTTTGATACCGCACGGCGAATGAGAGAAAAAAAACCTCCGCATTTCCCGGAAACTTAGATGCACACGGCAGGTAGCGTCAGAAAGCCACGTGTTTTATTCCGGTCACTAAATGCGGTGAAAATCCTACACGAGGTTAAAGTTTGGTTGTGGTGCTAACATGTTTACACTCGGTTCAATAGTTAACTTAGTTCAATACAAACAAACTGAATAAACAAAGAGCACTGGTTGCTCACTTACCAAATCTGTAGAGACAGGACAATCACCAGCAACTAGAGGCGCGTCTTTATTAAGAGGAGACTACAAGCGAATCCGGATCTCAGCGTTTATAGATGAGAACAGCTCTCAGGTAAACAATAATCCTCCTTAGACACGCAAGTTATTGTTGTCGCGTACACTGTTAATCCACGCGTGACTCCAGCTGAGCAGAGAGAAAATGAAAACAAAACGTAACGGCAGCAAACTATAAAAGCAACACTTCACGCTTGTTTTGCCAACACAACGTGGTGTGAGTGTCGTGTAAACACTGTGACAGTAATGAATATTAATGAAGTTGCACAATAGAGCGCGCTGATTGGTTTGAACCAAGCTTTACTCATGCATTAATGCATCACACTGTAAGACGTAATAAGACTCACTCTGGCACAGACGCCCAGTCTGCACGCTGGAATACACGATATTATGTCATGACCGTGACGCAGCTTCAAAAATTCGTTTCAAACCCGAAGTACGAATTAGCTTGAAATAACGCAAAAACAACCAATTTACACTTTTTAGTGAAATATAGGTGTCCTAATAGTGTTTTTAGCAGTGTGGGACACATATACGACTGTCAACAGCTCAAAAAATGTGTTTTGGTGTTTCGTGACCCTTTAAGATCTGAGTTTGACACCCCTGGTATAGCAATACCATAAGTTTATTCTGGTTACCAAGTCACAGTTGTTAAGCTCAGTTTCTGGAGGGCCGCAGCTCTGCACAGTTTAGTTCCAACCCTAATTAAACACAGTTGGTTAAACTAATCGAGTCCTTCAGGGTTGTTTGAAACTTAAAGCTAAGTGTGTTGAAGCAGGGTTGGAACTAAACTCTGCAGGGCAGTGGTCCTCCAGAAGGTTTGACACCCCTTGTTTAAGTAAAAACAACATGTTTATTTTTTCTGTGGTTAAATGTTGTACATTAGTCCTTGATCTAGCATCCTTTTGGTGTTTTATGGCTGAAAACTTTGATGCTGGTTTTCATGTTAGTTGTTTGTGACTAGTGTTCTTTTGTCTTTAGACGTGTTGGTGCTAAAACAAGAGCAAGAGCTGAAGGAAATAGAAGAGAAAGACCAGTCATTACATACGGAAGATAAATACACCCCAAATGAAGAGACTTCATTACTTAACAATCCTAAGGAAACCAAACTTAAACATTATCATTGTCAACACTGTGGGAAGATTTACAGGAAAAAAACAAGCTTTACCATCCACATGAGAGTTCACACCGGAGAGAGACCTTTTACCTGCCAACAGTGTGGAAAAGCTTTCAGACAAAAGTCAAACCTCGCTGGTCACATCAGACTTCACACCGGAGAGAAACCTTACAAATGCCAACACTGTGGAAAGGGTTTTCCTCAAAAACATGATCTTAACAATCACACGAGAATTCACACCGGAGAGAAACCTTTCACATGCCAACAATGCGGAATGAGTTTCCGTATAAAACAGAAATTATGTTGTCACATGAGAGTTCACACCGGAGAGAAACCGTACACCTGCCGTCAGTGCGGGAAGAGCTTCGCTCGAAATTCAACGCTTAGTCACCACACGAGAGTGCACACCGGAGAGAAGCCTTTCACCTGCGAACAGTGCGGAAAGAGTTTTTCCTATAAACATAGGCTTAAAATCCACATGAGAGTTCACACCGGAGAGAGGCCTTACAAATGCTCAGTGTGTGACAAGAGTTTCATTCAGAAACTGAATCTTGACATTCACACGAGAGTTCACACTGGAGAGAAACCGTTCATATGCTCGCAATGTGGACACTCTTTCACTCAAAAAGGAAGTCTTGATTTCCACATTAAAAGTATTCACGGCGCCGGTCGGAAACAAAAAACCAAAGTCCAACGCAAGACCTAAGTGGTTTCGGCTTATCCCAGGGGTGTCCAAACTTGGTCCTGGAGGGCCGGTGTCCTGCATAGTTTAGCTCCAACTTCCTTCAACGCACCTCTCTGGAAGTGTCTAGTATTCCTAGAAAGAGACTGATTACCTGTGTTGGAACTCACTGGCATATTGCAGAGCTAAAAACCTGTCCGAATCGGAAATCTCAGCCATTTAGAATTGGCTCAAGGGCTTATACCAGGGGTCACCAATTTCGGTCCTGAAAGAGCTCCAACAGGTCTTCTAGTATATCTAGTTAGAGCTTAATAAGCTGGTTCATGTCTGTTTTTTTATTTAATTTTTTTGATAAGTATATTTATTGACAATATACATAACATTGTGTAGAATGTGGAATTACAAGGAATATCAGGACTTTTTTTTTTTAACAATTAGCAAAGACAAATAATAATGACAAAAAATAAATAAATAAATTTAAAAAATAAAAAATACAAGTACACCCCCCCATCCATACAAGGTATAATTGTCACAAATGTTGTCACTCATTGTGATGTTACGTAAGAAAGTTGCAATGGTTGATGATAATAATAAATAAAAACAGTAATGTCCAGAATGATGCACAAATAAGTTACATTTACATACATTATAAAACATTAAATTAGAAACAATAAGAGACAGTAAAAACAACAACAAGAAACACTAGCAAACCTAACAACTAGGGATGTAACGGTATCAGAATTTCACGGTACGGTAATACCTCGGTATTAATGTCACGGTACGGTATTTATTGAATAATTTACAGGAAAAAACAAAACTTATGAAAATACTCCAAAAAAGTGCCAAAAGTGTCAATGACATACAAATTAGCCATCTATCTGTAAGCTTTGAAACAGGAACTTCAATTTTAATAACAAAAAATATTAAACCATGTAAAAAAAATAAAGTTTCAATTTAGTATTGTTGAAAACTCATCACATTCAACATTTAATCACTCACTCACTTAGATAGAGATGGGTTTAAAGGAAAATTATCATATAAATATGATCTGGTAAAAGCTGGTATCTCTGGGTATTTACAATGTCCCCTGCAACAGAAAAAACCCCTCTCATTTGGGACTGAGGTTTCTGGGACAAGAGAGATATGACTTGGCCCAGGTTGACAGCAGTGGGTAACGTTGTGCATTGTCTTTCCCCCACTTGAGAAGACAAACCATGAGTAAGATAGAGATCTCACGTCTGCATCAATCTGAACAGTGTGCTGTGTTTCTGCAGTCCCCATGACTGATTATTAGTCGTATTCCCCAACTTGCAGGCACGTGCACACACAGTGCTCAACCTGTACAGTGCACATGCCCTTTTTAGTCTTGGATAGAAAGTTCCCTTCCAAAATGATCAAAAGTGCCCCCGCGACGCGACAGACCCTCCGTCCCGCTTCACAGTATGCGCGCGACAACACAGCTGATCAGAACGCGCGCGACAACACAGCTGATAAGAACTCGCGCGACAACACAGCTGATAAGAACTCGCGCGACAACACAGCTGATCAGAACACGCGCAACAACACCGCTATTTAGTACGCGCGCGACAACACAGCTGATAAGAACTCGCGCGACAACACAGCTGATCAGAACACGCGCAACAACACCGCTATTTAGTACGCGCGCGACAACACAGCTGATAAGAACTCGCGCGACAACACAGCTGATCAGAACACGCGCAACAACACCACTATTCAGTACGCGCGCGGCGACAACACCCGCTTTAGGGTTTTCCAGCTCTTTTTCATCCCCGCTTCTAGCAGCACACTCCATTTCCGCATTACTGGATCTGTAGCGACAACAGACCGCAATGGATTATGGCCAAGCATGGGCTGATGGGAATTGTAGTTTTCGCTACCTCCCGTTCGCTTCATTCGCCTGAGCAAATTTTCTCAGAAGACCTATTGTTTTACCGAGTCATGCGACTACGGTAATATCGAAAAAAATTTATATTGCGGTATGACGGTATTTACAATACCGTTACATCCCTACTAACAACCGTTATGTGAAATAATGTTATTAAAGTCTAACAGAGGTAATGTGTCCAGAAATGGTCCCCAAATATAATCAAAGTCAGTAGGCTTTTGTTGACAGAATACAATATTTTCTCAGGAGTACTATAAGATACGAGCTCATTGATCCAGTGTTTTTTCTCAAGGGGGTTCTCAGATTTCCTTTTTTAAAGTATGCAATTTTTAGCTGCAGTGATTGCAAGCAAAATAAAATAGCTGCTGTGGTAGGTCAACGGAAGTGAACTGATATCACCTAATATAGAAATTTTAGGATCTTGGTTCAGGTCTGTTTGATTAGGGCTGGAGCTAAACTCTCCAGGACAGAGTTTAGACACCCCTGCTGCAGGTGCTCCCGTTTCTCCCACAGTCCAAACACCTGCGCTATAGGTGAATTGGGTAAATACAATTGGTCGTAGTGTACTACTGTGTGTGAATGCAAGAGTGTATGGGTGTTTTCCAGTACTCGGTTGCAGCTGGAAGGGCATCTGCTGCATAAAACATGTCGGAATAGTTGACGGTTCATTCCGCTGTGGTGAAAAATTCTGATATGGAAACTCCTACAAATGCAGAGTCAATAAGGGCAGGTGTAAATAAAAATGGCTACGCATTTTAGCGCTACTTGTGCACTGGAAATGTTAAGTCAATTCTTACAGTGTTTTTACAACTATTAAATTAGTTAATCTGTCCCCGAGTGTTTAACATAGTTAATAAAGCTGTGTTTGTATCACACACTGTGGTTGTGTTTATAACTGGCGTCTCTAATAATCATGCCCAGATTACTGTACTGTTGTACTGTAAGAAGGTTGTTAAACTGATAATTGATCAACTGATTCCTGCATCTACACACTGAATGTTATTTAAAAGAGGAGTTTAGGTAAACATACTATCATATATTCTGAAAATATAATAGGCAACAATTAATTAACCACATTATTTAATAGTGCAAACACTGTGGTATACTTATAATGACTTAAATCAATAAATATTACCACTAAAATTAACGAGTTCAAGAAAAGACCATGCGTTTGTTATCAATTTGTATCCGTAATGCCTTTTGCACGAAGTAAAATCTGATTCGTAATACTGTAAACCATTAGTTGAAGAAACATTTCAGCAAACATTGTTGAGAAATATTAATCTTTAACAATAAATAATTTAATAATATATTTATTTATTTCTCCAAATTTAAGTTTTGATTAATCTGAAAATATGTAATTGGATTTGTATAAATTATTTCAATTTCGCCAATATTTATTCATTGTCTTCTTGTTTGCCTGTGTGGAATTCTATCCGAATTAAAATGATGATGGAGACTTTTATTTTGGTGTGGTAGTATGACGTCACAAGGCTGCGCCGCTCTCATGTGTTTGGGATTCAACAGCAGGTTTGTTTTGCAAGCTTTCAAAGTGTATACATCGATAAAAACTACGTAAAGTTAATGATAACGTTTATATGTTTTGCTAAAATAGTAATTTGTCATCGACTGTTGCATTGCGAAACATTAAATGACATCCGAGACTAACTGAAGCTGAACTGACAACAACAACACTAAAGTTACTGGTATTTATAAACAGCAGCTGATTGAACAAATCTCTGAAATTAACTTTAGTTTTTAACGCTGTTTATTAAAGCAAATGAGTCATGACAAAAACATTATTTATTTATTAATACACCTTCATCTTACACTTTTTTGCCTAAAGTCTGTTAATAATATTCAACAAGTGAAGTGTAGTTCATGCGGTTGTTCTCCTGACAACATCACATATTAAAAGTACATTATTTAAAAAAAAATCAGATTAAATATAACAATTAGTGACATGTTTGTTCCGCAACATTATAGGTGTGTTAAATATTATTGTAGTACAGAATACACTCAGGATTTAATCTGCATAAGCAGATTTTTTTGCTGTAGATATTGCACAGCGTTATTAATTTTATTTATTCTTTTAACTTATATTGAATGACATTATTTTACTGTCTTTAACTGAGACTGATTGTCTTACCTGAGCTCTTCTTGTCGATTATTCTCCTCCTTAACGCATAGAAAAACTCCTGTTGAAGCGACTGATCTGAACACGGCTATAAAGATGGCATTTATTAAAGAGGAGAGTGAAGATGTGAAGATTGAAGAAACATTCACAGTCAAACATGAAGATCCAGAGGAACAATCAGGTTGGTTTTCTTCTACAGCAGGGGTTGCCAACCCTGTTCCTGGAGAGCCACCTTCCTGCAGATTTCAGTTGCTACCCATATCAAACACACCTGAACCAATTAATAAACTAATTTCACGTGGCCGCCATTTTCAAAAGCGAAATCGAGGCTGCGGTGGGAAGAAACTCGGAAGTATCATTGGGAGTTACATGGGAATGTTTTGTAACTGGCTATATATCTTATCAGCGAAGATAAAGCGACACAAATTTATAATTTCTCCGCCTTCCGGGTGACCCGAAGGTCCGTTCTGAATGAATGGTGAATGTAAAAAGGGATATCAGAGCTCATTTTCAGCTAAGTTAAGGGAAATGGCACCAGTTAGCTAACGTTTTCTTTCCCAAAACCACGTTTTAGATGCCATTAATCAAACTCAAGTTAATAAACTGATTCTTTCACTATATTAGACTCGTCACGATACTGAATTAAAAGAAAGACCGGCACTTTCGCGCTAACATTTAAGGCACTGTTGATGGCTTTCCTAAAACAGCGCTGATTTGCCATTGTGTTCACGTGTTCAACAGAAATGATTGTGATTGGCCGAGAAGGTCGTCAGTTCACCCACCGATGTATACTGAGCACAAACACAGACGAGCCGAGCGATCTGCTTGATGACTCGACTGATCTTGACGGCTGCTTCGCGCTCCAGTCCGTGTGTCTGTGCTTGCACTGAGTGAAGAGCGGTAAACTGAGCGCAAACCAAACACAGATACCGTGAAGCCGTGAAACATCAGTCGAGTCATCCGCGCTCAGCAGCGCTTCCATGTTAGCGGGAAAAAGCCAGGTTTAAAACTTCAGTACCGGGACAACACTATCACAGACAACACGAGGATGTGCTGCAGAGGACTGCAGTGTTTTAGCGCTCACCGGGTTACATAGGCTGAAGCAGGAAAGCGTCCTCATGGTGTTTAACTGGTGCCATGAGCTGAAGCTTAGGACACTTAAGCGCATCACTGAGATTGTGATCTTGTTTGATGCTAAATTGCTTTTAATTGTTTAAAATAAACTTACTGAATAATATTAAAGTGATGGTTACACCATTTCTGCATTTTGAAATCTCAGCAACAGCTGGAGGTTTGTAGTACACGGCATGTTACTGCAATGTTTACAGTGCTGGTCCTATACTTCCGGGTTTCCTCCCACCGCAGCCTCGCTTTGGTTCTGTAAAATGGCGGCCGCGTGAAATAAACGTATTAGGACCTGAACACCACGTGATAATTACAGGCAGGTATGTTTGATATGGGTTGCAACTGAAATCTGCAGGAAGGTGGCTCTCCAGGAAGAGAGTTGGCCACCCTTGTTCTACCGTTTGAGGACTTCTATCATAAGAAATCCCTTTTGAATAATAAGTATTTACACATTTGGCTCTGTAAGGAGCACAGCAGGATTACAACAATCTGACTGTATTTAATCAGAATCAGAAAGAGCTTTATTGCCAGGTGTGTTCACACATTTGAGGAATTTGTTTACGTGACAGAGCTTCTACAGTGCAACAGAATTACAGAGACAGGACAAAAAAAAACCCATAATAAATATATTTTAAAAACAAGTAAGTAGTGAATGCAAATATACACATTGACAAGTGTATGTACAGGTGTATTACTATATACAATTGTCACACAACCAGCGATCGCTTTCCAGAGATCGCTGGTTCTCACACGAACTCTCAGGACTACATTTCCGCATTCCCCAGGACTACACATTCATACATGCACTGCTCCCAGACACGCACGCCTGCTCATTCATCTATCCTGATTGCAATCACCAGCTGAACCTTGTCACAGACTGATATCACTCCATTCATAAGCCACTCTTTCACGCTTCCAGTTTGCCGAGTTGTGTTTGCATCATTACAACGCGTTTCCCTGTCTTGTTTTCTCCGTGTTAGACCTTAGCCTTGTCACCCTTGTTCTCTAGTTTAGCCGCCTGACTTTCGACCTTTTGCCTGTTTATCGTTGCCGGCAGCTAGCTCTCTGCAACTCTCACATGGCCGCCCACTGAAGCTAAGCAGGGCTGCGCCCGGTCAGTACCTGGATGGGAGACCACATGGGAAAGCTAGGTTGCTGCCGGAAGTGGTGTTAGTGAGGCCAGCAGGGGGCGCCCAACCTGCGGTCTGTGTGGGTCCTAATGCCCCAGTATAGTGACGGGGACGCTAAACTGCTCAGTGAGCGCCGTCTTTCGGATGAGACGTTAAACCGAGGTCCCGACTCTCTGTGGTCGTTAAAAATCCCAGGATGTCCTTCGAAAAGAGTAGGGGTTTAACCCCGGCATCCAGGCCAAATCTGCCCACTGGCCTTTGTCCATCATGGCCTCCTAACCATCCCCATATTCCAATTGGCTTCATCGCTGTCTCCTCTCCACCAATCAGCTGGTGTGTGGTGTGCGGTCTGGCGCAAAATGGCTGCCGTCTTGTCATCCAGGTGGATGCTGCACACTGGTGGTGGATGAGGAGATCCCCCCATTGTGTGTAAAGCGCTTTGAGTGCCCAGAAAAGCGCTATATAAATGTAAGGAATTATTATTATTATCGTTCATGATTCTGGACTGTCTATAGATACCCGTTTGCACCTGATGACCACTGCTTGCCTGACATTGAATAAACCTGCATATTGGATCTTACCTTCTGTTGTGAGTGTCACTCCCCCCAGTCGTTACAACAATGTTAACTGTGTTGCTGTTATGTGCAAATTGGCATGTAAAGTGTGTTGTAAAATAAGTGTACATGTGTATAAAAGTGTGTGGCAAGTAGTGATGTTGGTTCCACGATTAGTATTATCAAGTTGTAGGGATAGTTTACAGTTCGACCCAAAGAATGACCAGTCTGGTAGATGAAGAAGAGCCGGAGTCAGAGATTTAAATAAATAAATCAAGTTTACTGAAGATAGTTTGCAGTTACATCAACAGAAGCCAGCTTCAACACTCGCAATGAGTTCCTAGACCGCTCTGCTTACAATCACTAATCAATAACAATTATACTCTCACATAACGTCATTAACTGCGTCACACATACAGGTGTTCTAACCTGATTGGTTAAAACACAGATAGACTAGGAAAATTTCCACGTGGGGTTTGTGCGTATATTCTGAACAATATCTTAAGCATAAACGTCAGACATCCCTTAGACTGATTAGAGCTGACTCCAGACCTGTGAAACGGATCTACAATCAAATAGAACACACACACTTAAAGTATAATCTGTTTCTTATCCAAGGCTGAGTGTATTCTCAGCCGTCTTTATCAAAACTGGTTAAAAACCGGTAGAATCTACATTCAGGCAGTTGTAATATCCTTACTACACAAAGTCTATCTTGAATAAAAAATGGAATCACTTTTAAAATAATTAACCGTAAAAACAGTAAAATCACTTTTAGACATTTTAGATAGTATTAACTCGTAGAAATAACAATAGAAACAGTTGCTTCCAGTCCTCAGCCCTCAGTTCCACTCAAGGTCTCTGTGACCTCTGACCTAGTATCATGAGCTCAAGAAGTTTGTTATTTCAGATATAGACACGCTGCGAGCGCAAGCAAGAAAGCGAAACCGCTCTCGCTTCATACTGGGTCGTAAAAAACTACGAGGCACAGGGTAGATTCTGCTCTACTCCATGGCTTTGAGGCTGTTTATTAAGATGACGACTAGGTTTGTTTGAGCCTGGATCGACCATGGCTCGTTATTATATGTATATATAATTCCGCTGTAATCTCGCTGTAATTTTTCATTCTGGCTTGTTGTGTAAGCGAATGACGTATCTCTGTAAACCAATAGCGTTCAGCTGACCTAGTTTGCTGGCTCCTGAAAATAGGTATAAAGAGACAGGCAAATGCACTGAACATTCTTATATTAAGCAATGTGTTAACTTATTCATTAATTAAAATCAATTCAAAGTTAAATACTGAGAAACAGGATGTTGAAAAGGATAAACGTTGGTCCATGAGGAGACCGATTGGAAAGCAGAAATCCGAATCCTTTAAAGTGTTCATGAGATGGATTGCCTGAGGGAGGAAACTGTTTCTGTGTCGGGTTGTTCTGGTGCGCAGTGCTCTGTAGCGTCGACCAGAATGTAAAAGTTCAAAGAGGCAGTGTGCTGGGTGTGAGGGGTCCAGAGTGGTTTTGGCAGCTCTTCTGCTCGCTCTGGATAAGTACAGTTCTTGGATAGTAGGGAGGGTTGTACCAGAGATTCACTCAGCAGTCCGAACTATTCGACGTAGTCTTCGGAGATTGGATTTGGTAGCTGAGCTAAACCAGACAGTTATTGACGTGCAGATGACTGATTCAATGATGGAAATGTTGAACTGTTTCAGCAGCTCCTTTGGGAGGTTGAACTTCCTCAGTTGACGAAGGAAGTACAGCCTTTGTTGAGCTTTTTTGACAATGGAGTCAATGTGAGTGTCCCACTTCAGGTCCTGAGAGATGTGCTGCCCAGGAACCTGGATGACTCCACTGCTGCCACAATGCTGTCCATGATGCTCAGGGGGGTTTTCCTGCAGTCCACTATCATCTCCACTGTTTTGAGCGTGTTGAGCTCCAGGTTGTTGTAACTGCACCAGACAGCCAACTCCTCAACTTCATGTCTGTAAGCAGACTCGTCACCACCCTGAATGAGTCAGATAAGTGTGGTGTCGTGTACAAACTTCAGGATCTTAACTGAGGAGTCCTTTGTAGTTCAGTTGTAACGGAGGCCAGCTAGTAAGTTCTGTGCAGGTAAACCTCACTCCTCTGAACCGTAAAGGTGCTCAAGCAACAGACGCTAGAGCCCATGGTCTTTAGCCTCCTTGTTAGAGCAACCGACTCCCATGAGGAAGGTCGCCGGTTCGAAACCAGCTCGGAGCGGGTTGGGTGGTGTAGGACCGGTGTACAGGGAGAAGAGCAGTGGGGGGAGGACACACCCCTGAGGGGCACTAGTGCTGATTGTGTGGGTACTGGATAAGAATTTTCCCAGCTTCACCAGCTGCTGCCTATCCATTA